AGAATAATGCCTACCCCGCTTCCTTATTGATTGGATGAGCCGTCTACGTGGAGGATCCAGGGCTCCTCGTCCCAGGTCAGCCTTGCTTTAACCGGGATTGGTGCCGCACTGGTTGAAGCTTCCTCTCTATGCTCGAGCTCGATCAATTCAGGGATTGCGGTGCTGAAGGTACATTCTGCAACGAAATTGGCCAAGGCTTGGACCTTAATTGTCGTTTAAGGTTCGTACTGGATGTTGTACTCGCTGAGTTTGATGGCCCATTTCGTCAGTCTGCTAGACACATCGGGCTTGAGTAGGATTTGCCTCAGAGGTTTGTTGGTGAGGACGATGCTTGGAAGTATGGACAATGCTTCCGAGCTGCTATAACCAACGCGTACGCCAGTTTCTCAAACTCTGGGTACCTTGTTTCGGCATCCTGCAAAACTTTGTTGACATAGTAGATAGGTCATTGGACCCGATCTATTTCCTTTATCAGTATTGAGCTGACTACCTCATCACTTGCGGAGAGGTACAACTTTAAAACATCTCCCTCCTCGGGTCGGGTCAGAACCGGGGTGCTGGCTAAGTATTTTTTCAGCTCGTCGAAGGCGAGGTGACATTCTTTGGTCCACTCAAAGTCTTTACTTTTCTTAATTGCTTTGAAAAAAGGCAGGTAGAGATCTGCCGACTTGGACATGAAGCGGCTCAGAGCGGCTATACGACCGTTCAGCCTCTGAACCTCCTTTAACTTGCGAGGTGGCCTCATATCTAGGATGGTCTTTATTTTCTCAAGGTTGGCTTTGATGCCACGTCGGTTGACTATGTAGCCCAGGAATTTACCCGAGGTGACACCGAAGACACACTTGTTAGGATTTAGTTTCATGTTATACTTGCGCAAAATTTCAAAAACACATCATAGGTCATTTATTAAAAATTTTGAAAACTGGGTCTTAACGACCATATCATCTACATAGCACTCAACCTTGTTGCTGATCAACGGCTCAAAGATTCTGTTCACAAGTCTTTGGAAGGTCGCCCCAGCATATTTTAGCCCAAAGGGCATGACCTTATAACAATATAGTCCCAACTCGGTTATGAATGTCGTTTTTTCTTCATCGGCAGGGTCCATCTTGATTGGTTGTATCCTGAGTATGCGTCCAGAAAACTCAGCAACTCGTTCCCTGAGGTCGCGTCCATTAGATGGTCGATCTTAGGGAGTGGGAAACAATCCTTCGGGCAAGCTCAACGCACATGCATCATTTACCGTTGGTCTCTTTTACCAAAACTGGGTTAGCTACCCAGCTCGGGTAATGGACCTCCCTCATGAAATTGGCTACAAGGAGCTTCCCGACCTCCTCGTCGACTATCCTCCAGCGCTCCAGGGCGAGGTTGCATTTTTTCTGTCTAACTGCCTTAACTAAAGGATCAGTGTTCAACTTGTGAGTTATAATTCTTGGATCTATTCCGAGCATCTCTACCGCGGACCATGCAAATACATCTAAATTTTTAAGTAAAAAACTTACCAGCTGAGAATGGAGTGGTTCCTCGATCGATGTGCTGATCTGGAGAGTTCTGGCTAGATCTTCTTTTGAGACCGGGATGTGGACTGTCTCTTCTGTTGGCGCAGCTCACTCCTCGGGATACTCCACAGGTCGATCGAGCTCGATATCAGCCGCTAGCTTGGCTTTCCCCTAGAGAGCGGCGGTGTAGCATTTGCGAGACTCGAGCTGGTCACCTCGCATTACCCCTACTCCATAGTCCGTAGGGAACTTCATGGCCAGGTAGTAGGTGGAAACCATTGTGCGAAGTGTGTGGGTAATGGGCAGACCTACTATGGCGTTGTACGAGGAGGGAGTCGCAACCAACAGGAATGTATGCTCGAACCTCGCAATGTTGGGCCACGTGCCGACCTCTACGGGTACTGAGACTCGCCCTAGCGGTCTGACCTCTTCGCCGCTGAAGCCCACCAAGGGTGTATCTATCGGCTTGAGATCGCCTTCCTGGAGCTGAAGCTTATCGAAGGTGTCCTTGAATAAGATGTCAGCTGAACTGCCCGAATCTACCAGGACACGCTTTACCTCGAAGTCATTCAGTCTCATTTTTATTACCAGGGCATCGTCATGGGGATACTGAACCCCACGCGCATCATCCTCTGTAAAAGATATAGGGTCTTCGAGCCTAGGTCGCTTCGGTGGATTCTGCTCCTCACGTTCCAGTTTGCGAACCGAGGCTTTCCCTGCTGCTGAGGTGCAGCCCGCAGCGATGGACCTGCCAGTAATCATGTTGATTACTCCACGGACCGGTCTTTCTTCTGCCAACTGTCTTTGTTGCTACTCACTCTGCCTGCTCTTAGACTCGGGAGCATTTCTTCTTTGCTCCCCCTGCCGATCTGTCTGGTTTTTATTTTCCTTTTGTACAAAATTTTTTAAGTATCCACGACGGATGAGCTCTTTGATCTCGTCATGGAGATTTCTACAGTTTTCGGTACTATGACCGTGGTCTTTGTGGAAATGACAATATGCATTTTTATTTCTAGTGGCGGGATCTCCCCTCAACCGAGGTGGCTATTTCACATAGGAGGCGTCCTTGATTGACATAAGAATCTCTCATCGCTTCGCGTTGAGGGGCGTGTAGCTCATCCTTTCAACTGGAGGAATTCGGGAACGCCGATCTAACTTGTTTCCTCCCCTGGTTGGGGACTTGCTTTTTCTTCGTTTGCTGCCACCGTTGTTCGGGTTGTCATCTTCTCTTTTTCTCTTCTCCACTGGGGCTTCATTCTTCTGGTTCATCTCCTCTTCGGTCCTGATGAATTGGTCGGCGAGCTTGAGGAATTCAGTGATATCCTTGGGCTTGTTTGCCACTACGTGCCATTTAAATTCCTTGTGGGTAATACCCTTCTTTGCTGCCGTGAGTCTTACAGCGGGATCCAGGTCAGGAATCTGTAAATAGGTGTCGTTGAAGCGTTTGACGTAGCTTCGGATCGACTCCCCTTCTCTCTGGACTATGCTGAGGAGGCTTTCTAAAACCTCGGGAACTTCTTGTTGGTGATGAAGTGCGAGGTGAACATCTGTACGAACTGTGCCCAACTTTTGATCATCCCAGGCACGAGGTTCCTGTACCATGTGCGAGATACTCCCTTGAATGTCGTAGAGAAGGCAATGCACATGCAGGACTCGTTAGCCCCAGCTAGATGCATCTGGGACTGGAACGAGTCTACATGATCATTTGGGTCGAACGACCCATCGTACTAGTCCAGCGGAGGCACTTTGAAGTCCTTCGGCATCGGGGTCACCAAGAGTTCGGAGGACAAAGGAGATGACCCGGAGAGGAGGGGAGTGGTCTTTGTTGCTTCTGAGATCGCCTCCTCTTTACCTTTAGGCTGCTCAGGCTGACTAGGTCCAGCGATTGGAACTATAGTTTGACGTGCCTTAGGACGCCGCCTTTGCTACTTCTTGACTGGCTCCGCATTGGTGCTGCTAACCTCAGTGTGGTCGGGTAATGTCCTGGCACGGAGTGGTTCGGACTGCTGACGCTGGTTGCTGTGAACGGAGGGGCCTCGCCTGGAGTCTGCGACCAGAACCCCGAACCGGTTCCCTACAAGCGAACCTTCATGGTGCGAGGGCCGAGGTGAAGTAGCTCTGGTGGGCTGAGTGTCTCCCGACCTGTTCACGTTCTACGAAGTGGGAGGAGTAACTTGCATGTCCCTCCTGCCGCGGGACAAGACCTGGCTCCCAAGGGGATGCTGAATCTGGGAGGTCTCTCCCCGACGAGGAGGGTGAGTGTTCTGACGACAAGACTTATTCTGTTGCGCTGCCGGATGCCAAGGTGGAACCGACTGTTGATTTTACTGCAGCGGTGGGAACTACTACCAGTAAATGTGGTGTAAAACCTATTGTTAGTAGTGCTAAAATTGTTAGACCTGTTGCATTTGGGCTTGAATAGCTCGCACGCAGTGTACCAGGTCGTCAAGCTGATGCTGTTCGACTCTAGGGGGAACCACAGATGGTTCAACAAAAGTCGCACCCACTACAGGAGGGAGTGGGGCATTCACTAGCACAGTTGCTTGAGGCACGGTTAGCGTCGGGACCCCAGCCGTAGAGAGCAGAATGGTGAATTGACCGATGCACACGGTTGGGATCTAAGGTTGCCCCTCGGAGACATTCATCTCATTATTTTGTCCGACATTGCTGAAGGATGCCATGGATTCTGGGTTTGTGATTCTTGGTGGAAAGAGGCTTCTTGTAGCGATTCCCACAGACAACGCCAATTGATGTAACGCGATCTAGCTGCTTCCAACTGGAGGTGATCTGGCTTCCAGACGGACAGCGGACTGAACCTACAAGGATATCAGAGAACCCGGGGATGCTAACCCGGCGAGGTCGCTCCGATGCTTAAGTCAGTAGACTAGTAGCGAGCTAAAATTGCTTTTGAAAGTAGAGAGATAGAGAGTAGGAAAATCACGCATACCTTACACCCCCGGGGGGTGGAGCCTTTATATAATGGAGTCCTCGCAGGTTTCACGAAGCAGTTCCAGGATCCTCGTCACGATGAGATCCGTTTCCGTGTAAGTTGGGAGATAGTGCTGCCAACTGATAGGGTTTATCGAGTCCACCCGAATCGGTCGGGGGAGATAACGCTGGCTATTACGCGATGTGATCCCATGAAGTCTGGGAACCATCGGAGGGATTTTCGGGATCCTCACAGTGGCACGTCGATATCCCTGAGCTGATGCCTTTAAGTCCCGAACTGGACTGAGTGTCAAAGTGCCTTGGCATCTAGATGTTCTTGTTACGATCTGGTACCGGGGCGATCTCATTTTGAGGTGACCTTATCTCGAGGTCATTTTAGCCCGGGGTAGATGGGTACCCGAAATTGTTCTACTGCAAGATGGTCATGCTGAGCTGTCATCTATTAATCGGGCCGGTATCCCCTTGTTACGAGGTCGGGCCAAATCACCCTTCATCAACCCCTACTTACATAACATCAATTTCAGGGGAATATCTTTGTAGATGTATGTTAAATTCATGAGATGTGAGGAGTTTTTGGTGAAGGGGAATCCCGTTCCCTCCGATGTATCAAACAAAGCATAAAATCTTAATTTTATGTTTTCATGTATATGTTTATGAATTATATATCCTCTTCCTTACGCTTCAAATCGCTCTGCCTTCATGCTTCTTCCCACCATTATGAATTTATGATATAAGCGTTCAAAAACTAACGAGTCCAAGGTACGCATCTTCCACTCTGCTTGATTTCTCTCAATGGGTTTCTCCCGATTCCTCAGGCGACTTGCACATATCGGAGAAAGTCGTAAAACTCTCGTCGACAAAACCACAGAATCCACCCTTAACTTCCCCTTCTCGTTTGCCATCACTACCAATGAAATGGGTTCTCTCAGATCTCTCAGCAGTTCAGTAAAACCCGGAAAATATCCAAGTTTCACACAGACACCTATCTCCTCTGATGAGAATCTTCATTGCAGCTCATCTCTTTTGACAAATATATGGTCAAGTGGTTCTGATAGTACTCAAGTTTTGTCTGAGACCAACAACGAAAACCTAAATATTATAGACGGTCGAATCTCTGAAGACACTGATAAAATCTGCAAGATAATCTCGAGCCACCGCACTTCATCTGCCATTGAGTCCCATCTAGATCGCTCCGGTGTCATTATCTCGCCATCTCTCGTCGAGGAAGTCCTAAAGAAGCTAAGCAATGCGGGGGTTCTCGCTCTCTCATTCTTCCGGTGGGCCGAGAAGCAAGAAGGGTTCAAGCATACTGCTGAGAGCTATAATGCTCTCATAGAAGCTCTGGGAAAGATCAAACAGTTCAGATTGATTTGGAATGTAGTCCGTGACATGAAGGGTAAGAGTCTACTAACGAGGGAGACGTTTGCATTGATCATTCGGAGATATGCGAGGGCTAGGAAGATCAATGAGGCGATCGAGACATTCGAGACGATGGAGAAATTCGGGATGAAACCAGAGTTATCGGATTTTAACCGATTGATTGATACTCTCAGCAAGTCTAGACACGTTGCGAAAGCACAGCAGGTTTTCGATGAAATGAAGCATAGAAGATTTGTGCCTGACCTTAAGACATACACGATTCTTTTAGAAGGTTGGGGCGAAGCAGAAAGTCTATTGAGGGTGGAGGAAATCCGTCGGGAGATGAGGGACGAAGGGTTCGAGCCTGATGTAGTTACCTATGGTATCATCATCAATGCCTACTGCAAGATGAGGAAATATGATGAGGCAATTGATCTGTACCGTGAGATGGAGGCAAAGAATTGCAAGCCCACTCCGCATATCTATTGCACACTGATTAACGGATTGGGTTCTGACAAGAGATTGGATGAAGCTCTTGAGTTCTTTCAACTATCAAAAGCCAGTGGTTTCATACCTGAAATACCTACTTACAATGCAGTTGTTGGGGCCTACTGTTGGTCAATGCGAATGAATGATGCATTTCGAATCGTTGATGAGATGAAGAGATGTGGGGTAGGACCGAATTCTCGGACGTTTGATATTATTCTTCATCACTTGATAAAGGCCCGAAGAACAAAAGAAGCGTACACAGTTTTCCAGAGAATGGGCAGCGAGGTTGGTTGTGAACCAAGCCTGAGCACTTACACAATAATAGTAGCAATGTTCTGTAAGGAGGAAAGAGTCGACATGGCTCTGAAGGTCTGGGACCAGATGAAGTCCAAAGGAGTCCTTCCCAGTATGCACATGTTCTCAGCTTTGATCAACGGTATGTGCTATGAGAATAGATTAGACGATGCCTGCAAATATTTCCAAGAGATGCTGGATTTGGGTATAAGGCCTCCAGCTCAGATGTATAGTAATCTGAAACAGTCTCTTATTGAGGAGGGGAAGAGCGATATTGCTCTAATTTTGGGTCAGAAGCTTGATAAATTAAGGAAGACTCCATTGGTTGATAGAAAAGGAGAAAGGCTTGGAAATGACGGTTGAAGTATGGTGCAGATGTCAATCTCACTCAATGCCTACCAGTTTGCACTTTGAAATGTCTGTGGGAGCTAGAAGCCACTATTTGATCAATCAGGCCTATGAAATTTTATTTGACCAATTTTTTCATTTCCTAAATGGAGTTTCCATGGATGATTCACCAATTCCTTCCATTCAAAATAATGGGATTGACTGGACTTTGTTTTGATAACTGGAGAGACTGGAATTCTGTAATGTCTAAAGTTGAATTAGTTGGGTTCATGTTGATTGCTCAGAGTGATTATAAACTCCTCAAGTATCTGTATATTTCTTTAGGTTAATCTGTCTTGGCAATGGCATTGTTAAAAGTGTAAGAAAATATCTCTCATTCATGTAAATTGAAAAAAAAAAAACTGATTATTTTCCATCAAAAAGTTTCAATAACGTTTGCAAGTGGATTTTTCGGTGAGGAAGCATGATTAAAACTGATTGGTGAACAACCTTGGTAATGTTACAGACAGAATAAAGACCTAATATTTTTGACCTCCATGGTCTCTCTCCTATAATCTAAACCATCCATGTTCAGAGGACCAGCTCTTGAAGACTTCCGCTTCCTGAGATCATAACTAATACAGGGTGAATTTGGGTGGAGATTTTCCACCCCTCATACAGGAGCAGGTGATCCCTTGTTCAGTGCTCTTTTCCTCATCATTTCCTTGGCCCCAGCCAAACCCATTCTGTGATCTTGTTTTTTGATGGTAACTCTTTTTGGCTTTTCTACTCCCCTCAAATTTCCACAGATCCCACACCCTAGTTTTCGGTGGAGGCAATGAATCTGCAGTTGGTGCAATCAACCTTAGCTTGCCATCATCAATAACTTCATCCACTAACCCATACTCCATTGTTACTTATCAAGAAAAAAAAGCATACTCCATTGCCTCACAAGGGTTCATGAAGTTGTCACGGTCTGTGTCCATTTCAATCTGCAAGCATGTGAAAATTTTAACTAATACAATGAGAAGTTCAAACGAAACCACTATATCAAGAATGGATAGAAGTAACAAGTAAAGCAGGATAGAAGTAGCAAGTAGTAGTAGTTAAGCTTGGTTCAATGGTCCATAACAATGGTGGGATTGATAGGAGAAACTATTTAGGCTGAAAGCTGATGCCAAAAAATGTTGTATAGAGCTGTACTTTGGAAAGTCAATAAATCCAGAAAAAAGAGTGGCAGAAATGCAAATGTGGAGATAGACGAGTGGGAAAACTAGAAAAAATAGAATCAGAAATGAATTTATTCTAACATAGGAATAGCTCCAATAGGTGTACGATTACCCCTTGTATCATAAATAATTTCTATTTATATCATATGAGCGATCTCAAACTACCAATCAATTGAATAATATGATGAATVCATCGAATTTTTGGTGGAAGAGGAAGACATGAACATGAAATGAATTGAAAAAAGAAAAAAAGGAAGTCGTAACAAAACAAAAAAAGTGGTATTGSGATCTTTTGTCCTATATGTGCAAATTGAAATTGGGCAATAGAACATGAAACCGTAAAAGTGAGAGAAATGACCTATTACAAGCTGAAGGGTCTAGAGGAGCTAGGGGAAGACCAAAGACACGGGTTGACATTATGCAGATGATACATTAGTGTTTAGGGATGGAAATGGTCTTTCCAAGTAGCATTTCACATTTCTTCCAGTCCAATATCTACAATAAAACCAACCCTAAGGAAATTGATTATCACACTGAAAAAGATAAGCGCCTCAAGCACAATCAAATCTATAATTTCCAAACCTCAAGGTCATTTTTCAGTAAAAATTTTCATGAAGGCCGTTCATATAAGCATAAGCATAGGCATAGCACAGTGCATCTCAATCACCTTGTGCATGCTGTCACTGATATCAGCTATTCTCCTCAGTAGTATTCTAAATGTTGTCACTAATTAGAAGGTGTAGTTTTGATGTGTTAACCCCTTAAACATTATCATCAGTGTATGATGTTAATCTCTTGTCAATAAATTTATTTTTCTATTTCTTTGAGAAGCCAGCAATGTCCTATATCTTCGCCTTTTACTTCTCTTCCTCTCCGTTGGTTTAATACTGCAAAACTATTAGCTATGGTGCTAATACTAATCATACATCTCAACATGTTTTTACAGTAATATAACTTTTCTAAGAAAAATTATGTTGTCATTTGGAAACCAAGAAGCAATGGCTGGCAAGACTAGAAATCATAGAATTGTAAATAAATGTATCCAATGGAAATCCAGGAGCAGCTTCATTGGGTAGCAGGGTGAGGAAAAACAGAAAGACATGAAAGCTAAGGGAACGCAAAAAGGGCATGAATTGAAAAAGGAAAGTGAGAAAAGATCTTAAGATTAATAATTTAACAGAGGATGTGGCCCTTGATAAAGTTGAGTTGCAAAACAGGATTTCTGTAACTGATCCTATATAGTTTGGATATTGTTGAGTTGAGTTGCTAATGTCCCTAGTAGGTGTAGATCCATCATATATTTCTTCCAATTAGTACTTCACAATGGAGTAAAACGGTCCATTGCAGGATTTATTAAGAAGTAGTACATCAAGATGTGTATCCTTCAAAACGGTTCAGTTATAGAGATTCTCTTTACTAAGTAGTTTGGAGAAAATATTTGAAGTACCTTTTGAGAAACCATCCCCTAGGATTTATTTCTTTACAGCAGCTGCTAGCTATAGAAATTCTCTTTTCTATTCAGTATCTGTGTCAAGTTTGTATCGTTCTGAATATTTGACAACAAATGCCAGTGAAACAACAAGCAGAAACTAATTACTCACTTTTCTTCCAGAAGTTCCAAATGGTTGATGGGTCATCACCCTTGCGTTTGGCATGCAAAACCTCTTCCCGTTGGTACAAGAAGCAAGAAGAGATGCACCCATAGATGCTGCAAGACCAAGGCAAACAGTAGAGACATCTGCTTTGCACAGCTTCATTGCATCATATATTCCCATTCCTGAATTCAGCAATAAATTAAGGAATAATAAAGTAATATCATTGTCAATAAAAGAACAACCAAGTTGACAGAATGTGGCAGTGAGAAGTTCATAACGGGCTATGCTTTTGACGATGTGGCATGGGCATAACCCAAATGGACCTTTTCAAAAAAAGATTAATTATAGAAGTATCAAATTGTGCATTGTGAAATTTAAGCTAGGCTGTAAATGGCAGGAATTAATTCTGACTCCAAAGTTCTGACCAATAGAAGTACAAAATTAATGGATAGAATATAAGAAAAAGTACGGACAGGCCTAATATAGATTTCTGAATCCCACTGCAGATCTATAAACATTCAAAATGTCAAAACCCCCATTCTATACACCGATACCCACCCGTGAAAAACACTACCAATTCAATTGTCAATCCATTTGTTAAGAAGCTCAGTGAAGTTTCCTTCTCATATCCTAATCCTATTCAGTTGTGTTATTTGTAACATTTATCTTCCCTCAGCCACCATGAGGTTGCATTTTTCATTCCAAGCTTGGATACCGAAGAGAGAGCAAATCATTTTACTCTATATGTATCCCATCAATTTGTTTCTCTAAATATCAATTATTATAGGAAATTGAAAAAAAAAAACAGTTGTATTTAAAAAGTCTGCTCTATTCTATTATGGCGCTGCTTCTTCCTTGAGTTAGTTGATCCAGACGATAGTTACCTCATCTATGAATTCATCCAGTTGGTATTTGGATTTGCAGTTTGTCACTCATAACTTGGGTGGACCAAATTTGATAACATTTATGCTGTTTATTTTCCTCTCCAAATTAAAATGGTTTGACTGACGTAGGTAGTTGGTATAGGATGATTACATGGTAGAGAAATTGCATAGTGGTTATTTTGCAAGTAATAGGGGATTCCTTTCTGTTAAGAATAATTGATGAATTGCCTTGGGAAAAGATTGTGGGAGAAAATCAAGAAATTGAAAATCAGTTGTTTATTTCTTTAGGATCTTGTCCTGAAATAACATAATTATACTTTTTACTGTAATTTTCCATTGTCTTTTATTTCTTTAATACCACCAATTCTTTAGGCTTCTGTATTGAAGGAATACATAACAGTTTTACCAATTTGTTCAAATGGGATATGTCTGCAAATAGGGTTACTTGAGAGCAGTTTAAACAGCTACAGTTCAAAACTAAGAGCCCGTTTGGTTCACAGTTGAAATTGGAATCGGAATGGTCTATTTCCCATAGTCTGATTGGTTTAAACAAGAATCTGAATAGGAATTGAAATTAACTGAAATTGAATTTCATTCCCAAGAGAGGGGGAATGCCATTCCACTTCCACCAGGAATGGGAAAATGGGAAGTGATCATTTGAAAAAATGATAAGTTGCTGAAACTTCACCTGAAGTATTTGAATATTATTAAAACCTCCTCTGAAGTTTGATATTGTAATCATCTCCCCTAAACTTTTTGACACAGTGGCAAATAAACCCCCTCTGTTAAAATCCTCAGATAAGAGACACAAAAGGTCCAAAATACCCATACAATTACTATTGATACTAATTTCTGTATAAAAAACAAAACAAACTTTACGACCAACAAAATAAATAGAGTTTAAAGTTGTAGTTTTAACTTTGAGGGATTGATATGAAAGGCAAATTTGAACACTTGAAGCATTGCTTGATGAACAGAAAATTTTGGTAAAAAGTAACTTCATGGGTATTTTGGTCATCTTAATACCAGGGGAGGTGATTGCAATTACCAAATATAAGGGGAGGTTTCAACAACAGTCAAACTTCAGGGGAGGTTTCAGCATTTTACACTTCAAAAAGCAAGTGTTTGAATAAATGTTTATTTCTAATAAGCATCATAAGTACTTGGTAAAAAAGCATTTATTTCAAACAAGGGTAATATAAGTATTTTAAAAATAACATGGGGGCCAAGACAGGCCAGGAAGAAAATAATCACTTATTGAATAAGCACTTAAAAATAAGCCCAATTTATTTGGCTTCTCAAATAAGCGCTTATTCTCAGAATAACTACTTAATTCGGGCTTATTTCCCAAACACCAAAAAGTGCTCATTGATGTGGTCCAGCAGGGCCTCACAACCCAAAATAAGTGCTTATTCGAATAAGCACTCCCAAAATTGGCCCAAGTCTCTTTGCATGTGAGCACGGAAATTCACAAAGGCACATCATTAAAAATGCTAAGATTGAATGGTAACAAATTCCCCCACAAAGCACAACTGTACATGTATCAAATCAACTGGTGCAATTCTGTAAATGACAATTTTTTCACCTCTTATCTACAATGAATTTATAAAGTTGTAAAAGTTTTCACGTTGATGAAGAAAAAAAATCTGAAGACCCATTTTCTGCTCATTCCAAGTTCATTTTCTCTATGACATGCAGCTCTCAAGCTTCTAAGAGCTAGTTTCACTTTCCCGATAAGCAGTGTAAGAAGGATCTCAAGAATTGCTCATCTTCAGCTTATTTCTGCTGCAAGCAACCACCCAAGACATTTCACATGAACTTGATGGAACTTATGCTGCCATCCTGCTTAAGAAATTTTGGTTGAATCTTGGTTGGCAATGCTAAGGTTACCTATATTCCAATTAACTGGAGAGAACAAATCAATGGGATCAACTGCCATTGTCATGGGTTTGGCAGGTTTATTGTTTCTCCCTCTATTAAATGTCACATCCACACCATCTGTATGAAACCCCACTTAAATGGGAAGGTGAAGAGCTGCAAGTGGGTAAAGAGAACTATATGCCCAATACTTATTTCCAAGCTGAAACTCACCAACTCATCCACTGCTTCACAAGGAAATATGATTCTACCATCAACCCAATGCAGAATTTTTGAGACTATAGTTGTGAGAGAATAGTTTATCATTATTACTACCTATCATTTTTCAGTTGTGCAATCATGCATAACCGGAGGCACCACTCCATTCCCATCATGTTGATGTTTCTCACCACATTCACTGCCCAATACATCAGAACTGGATGTGATTAGTGATTTCTGATGGAGGCCGTTTTTCAGATTTCTTAGGGAGACTGCCTCCTCTGTCAAAGTAGTGCTAGTGGAAACATCATTCCCCTGTAAGGAAGCAGCAGGCTCTCTCTTACTTAAGTCCTTGCTCAACAAAAAAACAGACAAAACATCATTAGAAACTGCAGTACCTAAAACACTATCATTATTTGTTGATTTTCCAAGGTCACCCTGCTCGCAGCAATCTTCTCTTCCTGCCATTCCATGCAAGGAAACATCATTAGCATCCATTGTGTTCAGTGTTGAATGCCCAGGATGTTGTCTCTCAGAAAGCATATTCAAAATTTTATTTCTCTTCCTTCTAGGAAAAGAAACAGCCTGACTGCCATTACAAACAAGCTTCAGTTTTCTCTTCTTTAACGCATCACTCAACAGAGAAACAAGTGTTACATCATCTGTGTCTATTGTTACAGGATTCTCTTGAGACACTCCATCTTCAGTTCCTGAAACCTTGGAACTATCCTGCAGAGCAGAATCAATTGCTGTTGGCTTCTCCAAAGAAACATCAGTAACATCAAATGCTGACTGCTCTCGAGGTAAAGAAAGATCTTGGGCTTTTCCTGCAAGTTCAATATGTTTATTCCTCTTTCGACATGAACTGAGCACCTTTCTCTTCTTGTGTGGGACTGTATCCCCATTGACATTAGCAAGGGTCTCATCATTGCTTACCCTTAAATCCCCTGAATGCACTGGGTCTAATAGAAGTTCTTCATTCTTCTCTGCTGGTTCAATACTTTTCTCCCTCTTTGAAGACAACTTAGATTTCCTACTATTCTTCAGCACTCTATTATCACCGTTGGTAATAGTACATTTCTTCCTCTTCGGACATGGCTTAGGCATCACTTTCTTCTTTAATGCATCATGCAACAGAGAAGTAAGTGATGCATCATCCACATCCATTGTTTCAAGATTCCCTTGAGAACACAATCCATTTTCAGTCCCTGAAACCTTGGAACCGTCCTGCTGAGCAACAACAACTGCTGTTGGCTTCTCCAAAGCAGCAGCAATGGCATCAAATGTTGACTGTTCTTGAGGCAAAGAAAGATCTTGGGCTTTTCCTGCAAGTTCAATATGTTTATTCCTCTTTCGACATGAATTGAGCACCTTCCTCTTCTTGTTTGGGATTGTCTCCCCATTGACATTATCAAGGGTCTCACCATTGTTTACCCTTAAATCTGCTGAATTCTCTGTGTCTAATGGAAGTTCTTGATGCTTCTCCGCTGAATCAATACTTTTTTCCCTCTTTGAAGACAACTTAGATTTCCTACTCTTCCTCAACACCCTATTATCCCCACTGGAGTTCTGAACATTATTACCATTGGTAATGATACATTTCTTCCTCTCTGGACATGGATTAGGCACCTTCTTTGAAGCTCTACTTTCCTTACCAAGGGTCTCTACAATATTAACATCAGTTGTCATCCTTGAAACTGGTGAATGATTAGGAGATAAAGGAATATCTTGGTCTTTTGACGGTCCAGTAGATTTGCTGCCTTCCAAAAATACTAGAGGCATCTTCTCTTTATTTGAAATGGCATAATTCCCACCAGAAGGGTCAACATCATCACCATTAGTTATCCTTAACAATGATGAATTATCAGGAGACAATAAAAGTAACTGGTGATCCTCAACTGGTTGAACATGTTTATTTCTTTTTGGGCGTGGATTTTTCTTCTTTAAAGTGGCATTATCCCCTTTAGAGGACTGAACATTACCATCCATTATCCTCAAAAACTCTGGATCATTAGGAGATGATAGACCTTGGTTTTCTTCTGCTGGTTTGGTACACTTACTTACCTTTGCATGGCGCTTAGGCACCTTTTCCTGCTTCTTTGAAATTGTATCATCCCTCATGGAGGCCTCAACATCATTAACATTAGCTAACCTCAAAACCTCCTCAGTGAAAACTTGAGCTTTGGTTCTGGACTTCCTAGAGTTAATCTTCTTTCCAGCATCACTGCAGTATCAGAAAATAGAAAAACATCACATGCTTATAAAAGGCAACCACGGGCTTATCTCCACCTGGAACTAAAAAAGTCAAATTTCCTCATCACATGATACCTAGGAAATGGAATGATCACAAATAACTAAGATTCAATTTTTTTTGGTATTCAATATTTAAAAATAAAAGGGCAGCCCAGTGAACGAGGCTCCCACAAATGCAGGATCTGGGACTCTGGGGAGGAACAGATGCATGCAGCCTTACACCTGCACATACAGAGAGATTGTTTCCAAGATTTGAACCCTGGTCACCCAGGCCACAATGAATTAACCCAACCATTGCACCAAGGCCCACCCATCATTCAATATTTAAAAATGACTATTAATAATGAAACAGTCAAGAAGGAACCAAAAGAAAATACTACTTACCAAGTAGTTGTATCTTTCTTCTTAGGTTTCAGCTTCTCTCTGCAGATACCCGAAAGTCAGGACACACCCAATATGATAGAATGTCTTCTAAAAATCCCAAATACAAGTACTTCAAGTAGCATACCTTGAATTCTTCTTTTCTTTCTGAGTGTTATTTCCATTCATAGTTTTGGATTTAGAATCCATTCCCGGTAATGGAAGAAAGTCATGAGGACCAAGTGCAGGTCGCTCAGCTTCCCTGTCTACAAAGTTGGATATAAGAGCAGCTTTCTGTATCATGCGAGCTGCTTGGGCTAGAGGCACCTCATGTGGATACAAAACCTTCCATCTCCTGGGAACCCAGAGAGATCAATTAGCAATTATAACATAAAAATAAGGTTAAATATAGAACTGAGCATTAGATACAAATTTTGAAGCCATGAAACATGATTATGATATTCTGTAAATCAACCCCCCCTTCACATATTTTCTCTCCTCTCACATAAACAAGGTCATTGTAGAGTCCATTCTAGAAGAGATATTCAGAGCTCAACCCCGCCTCCCCTGGGTGCAGTCAATGGGGGATTGTAGATGCATCTAAAGATTCATCATAAGAGAATAATTTTATATAGACACGGTGTCCAATTGGATGTGGGACATCTATCACATACAAGATTTTGACACTGCTTCAATGAGTGAGATTGGTGCCTTCACCGGGTTTCTTAATGGCTAGAAGTGGTTAGAGACTCCTAGGTAGTGATTGGGTGGATGAGAGAGGATGGCACAAAGCTGCTCTAACATCAAATCCTGGGAAGCCAAGTCTTTGGTAGCCAAGTGAACTCATTCATTAGCCAGTCAAAAAGATTTACTAATTCCCTAGGCTAAGAGCCCTGCGATATCTGAAATGGACGGAGGTAACTCTTTTGGGGACCACTATTCCAAACTAGTTCATAACAAATTCAAAGTATCGATATGAAACGCTCGATACAGGACGTATTGTACCGTATCTTTTGGTCCCCGATACACCTGTTTACAGGCTTTTGGGAACCCTTTTTAAAAAAAAAAGAATATATGTAAAAAAATGTTTAAAACTGAAACTTGAAAAAAAAAAACTAAACAAAATAAAAGTACCAATACACAAAGGTGTATTGATAGTTGACAAAACCAACCAAGGAAACTGAAGGGCCAGGGCCCTAAGAAACCAAGAAAAGGCCCTTAAAAATGATATGATCTTCTCCTTAAATAAGAAGAAACACACTGGTTGGAAAAAGGATAGAATAAAGTGGCTAAAGTGAGAAGACATCAATGCTAGAGATTAGGTCCATATCCAGTCCACCCTTCCCAATACCCAAAATAGCCAGGACCGACACTGAGTAATGGATCTATGAAAATCCAAGATTCTGGTGGAAATCTGGAATGACATCATCAGCAATAAAGATATTGTGTACTAAATAACAACACCACTATGTTTCTCACACTGAGGATGCCTCTCCCACAACAGATGGCTTAGATAGAGAAACAATGAAGCCTTATCAGAGTTTTGGTTTAGCATTGCCTTAAGCTTAAGGGTTTAGATTGGTGAGCTCTCTGGGACCCCAATGGCTGGAGGTGGATGGAGAGTACCAGGTAGTAGTGGTTGGGTGGAAGAAAGGCAGGGAGGGAAATTCATGGCTGCTGCAATATCAAATCCTATGAAAGCCAGGTCTTTGGTGGATGAAGTGAACATTTTTAATGGGAAATGGTAACTTTCATTAAAAATAATGGATAAAGATTACAACTGCCACCATCCAAGGGTTGGATGGAGAACCCTTTAACAAAAACTGTCTCATAAACAGGCCCAAAACAACTCCTGCCTATTGACTCTTTGCTTCGCTTAAGCATCAACCATACCATTTTCTGATCTTCTTGCCCAATTAAACCTCACTCCTATCTCATTCAGGTGGTCAAGAAATCTGCTAATTCCGTAGCAGACAGCCTTGTGAGATCTGGAGCAGACAGATCAGAACTTTTTCAGGGTTATGCTGCTCCATAGTAATTATGAGTTGTGATGATTGTTGTTGGTAGGTGAGGGATGCTCTCTAGTGTGTTTTTTTTCCTCTGTGGTTCTGTAATTTTCCTTTTCAATTTTAGTTATTGATAAAAAACAAATTAAATAAAGGAGAGAGAAAAATCAATACCTTCTACACTGATTATCAGTACGTGGAGGCACAGATGCTGCAACCTTAGACCAGCAATATCCATGCTGCAAAATGGCTGCTTTCAACCTGGAATCCTCTTCCTCGGTCCAAGGTCCAAGATTCAAAGATGGATCCAGAGAATTGACCCATCTGCACCACAAACCTCTCAGGATCAAATTGACCAACTTAACTAAGTTCAGAGTTGTTCAACCATACCTTTCTCTACATTGAACTTGAGTTCGACCAGGTACAAATTGAGCTATTTTCATCCATGTTTTGGGTCCAAAAAGCATCACAGCAACTTTCAATCGTTTGTCCTCATCTGCAGTCCATCTCCCCACCCTTTGCCTAGCAGGGTGAAGGGTTTTCCTCCATCTGTATTTAGCAAGATCAAAAGTCATATGGATAAGCTTGAAAGTAAGAAAAGAAAACGAAAGACCTCAATATTAAAGATACACTCATTTAATAGCAAATTATCTACCCATATCTGATAATCTAAAGAATAATCATGCATCAAGCCGATATATGTAAACATCCGTATCAAGGTAATAATTCAATAATTCTCAAAGTTGCCAAATATATCCAGAATTATCAGTACAATACAATACATACCCAAAACAGGACTCATAAAAGTAATGCTCAGAACAATGAAAAGAATGTCAGGAATCAAAAGACATAACACATATCAAGTTTCTGGAGTAAATCCAAAATTAGTTGTCTTTGGCCTAACTTGTCACCCACTAAACAGGTCAGCCGGTTTGATGGTCCATTCATCTGGGTCAACAGGTATTTGACTTAAAGTTTTTTACTGCCAAACAGGTTAGAGGTTGGACCAACCTACTATTGTGACCAGGTGAAGGCCTGAAGGGTTGAACAGTCTGACTGCCCAATAACGTTTTAAAGGGAATGAGAGATATATACCTGGGAGCACACCTCATACAGAAAGAAAGGAAGGGAAGGGAGGGGAAGGGAAGGGAAGGGAAGGGAAGGAAAGGGAAAGGAAGTTTGTGCTGGGGAATCCTTTCACAGTGTTATGCATCCTCTTTTTTTTTGAAAAGAGGTAATTCTCATTTCAAAGCATAAAAGAGAGGGGGACATCTTTCACCAAAAAGAAACTAGAAAAACAAAACTCCTTCCTAAACAGGCAAAATATAATCTTACTTTTACCCTTTTCTTTTGCCCAAGTCATTAAATAACTAGAATATCCATGAAATTGTTACTAACCTATTAGAACATTGAGTGCCTGTCCGTCCTTCCAAATTAGAAGCTATTAGCTGCCAATCATCCTCACCAAAAGTTTCCACAGCTGCACGAAGTTGAGCATCATCATCTTCTGTCCAGTCACGTTTCATAATGTGAGCATTAAGGCTCCTTTGGTAACGAGCCAAGCACTGAAATGGAGTTCTGCCTGTTCCCAATTCCCTTGCAATGTCAATCCAGTTATAAAGTCCGCTTTGCTGGACAATAAATAGAAGCTTCTTATCCTCATTATTGGACCATGGGTTGTGATTGATTAAAGGATCTTCAAAGTTCAACCACCTGTTTGGAATTTAATAAATTAGCTAAAATACACATAAAGTAAAAGTAAATATAAGGTAATGTTGTTCCAAGAAAAAATGACATTGTTAACACACTAAATATGAAATCATGTCAAGAATTGCTAAATCTTTTGCGCAAAATAAACTAATTACAAACCAAAAATTTCAGAGAAAATATGCATGGGATAGAGAACAAATAGACCTACAATCACCACAAGAGACATTCACCAAATTTTTTAAGACAGGAGAACTGTGCTTTGTTTTTTTTTTTGACAAGGAGAACTGTCCAGTTAATAACTGTAGTGGCAATATCTCATGTTTTCTGGTAAATAAAAGCTTCGAACCAAATTTCAGGGGACACTTTACCTATCTTTGATAATATATACATCCATCCAGATGTAGTGGCTAGAGTAGTTAGCTTCAATCGTATTATTAATCTACAAAATATTAGAATAGAAAAGTTACAGACATTATGCACAAGAAATTTCTTGTATAGATGGGCACAGATGAATATGATGAAACTTCAGAAGAGTAAAGAGTGCATAAACAAAGGTAGTTTTCAGTGAAGGAAATGGTAACTACCTTGCTTCACATTCTGCACCTGAATGCCCCAAGACATACATGGAAGCTAACCGTTCCCAATCAACATTAGGTAGAAATGATCTAATTTTCTCTGGGGTGATTTCAAGATCAGTGATTGATGCAATACTTTCATCAAAGGCATTTGAATCTCCAGATCCTTCCAAATCACTGTCAAGGAAAAATGCATCAGGCAACATAATGGCATATGCTAAGAGTAAAATATCAAGACATCACATGTCCACAATAGAATATACCCATAGAGCTCCATAGATTTTTGCAGCAACATTTCTTGAAATTGTTGTTTTATTCCCTTTCTGATGTTTTCCTTCTCCACATTAGTCCAAGGTTGACGATTCAAAGAGTGTGGAAGCATTGACAAAACCACCTTATATTCGGCAACATGAGAATTCTCAGCTGGACCAAGAGATAAGGCAGAAACTTTTTTATCATTTACCTGCAGGCACCAAAAATACCTTATCAGTATTGCACCATGACATGAAGCAGTCTACTACATACAAATTAAGATTACATAAAGGTCAGTAAAACAGACAACCAAAGTAGCTGCTTCTGCCATACACGAGCAAGTTTAGTACTACTTAAGTGTGTAATACAGACAATGATAGACATAAAAGGGAACAAAGTAGAGATCTCCGCTTAATATTTGTTGACTTAGAAAAAACATATGACAGGATCCCCAAGGAAGCCATCTGGTGGGTTTTAAGAAAGAAGGGAACTTCCAAGTAGTTACATTGATATCTTTAGGGATATGTATTAAGGAGCATCAAGTTTGAGAACTCAGGAAAAGATGAGAGAATTTCTAATTGCAATGGGTTCACAACAAGATCAGTATCTAATGTCTTGGTACATTAGTTATGGATGAAGTAACTAAATATTTATAGGAGAGGCCCCATGGTATGTGTTGTTTATCAATGATATGGAATTGATTGATAAAGACTAAAAATGAGCTGAATGCAAAACTAGAAGAATGGGAAGATGCTTTAGAATCAAACTGTCTTAACATAAGTCAAACTAACGTAGAATATATAATAATGATGGTGCAATTAAGATTGATGATCAAAAGCTGCCCTAAATTAGCCACTTCCAGTACCTTATCAATCATCCATAATAAGGGAGAAATTGTTAAAAAAAAGGATGTTGCCCATAAAATCAGAACAGGGTGGTTAAAGTGCAGAGGTGTATAATCGGTATTGCATAATCAACATATACCTATAAGACCGAAAGGGGTGAAGGTAGAGGTGTCGAAGTGAGATGCTGCCTTAAGATGTTGGTGAAGAGGGTGTGGGTTGTTTGTTAAAAGGATGTGAGGAATACTTAAGAACTGAAGTGACAGTTGGAAGGATAGGAGTTGACTTGGGTTGGAGAAGAAAAATAGCCATCAGGGAAGGAACCGTATGTGATTTGGAGGTGGTGAAGAAAGTCCTAGTTTCAAGTAAATCCCATATAGTCCATGTTACTAAAATTTTTTCAAGATAAAAAAAAAGGTCTGGTTGGGACTGGTCCTACAAGCAAAGACAGAAGAGGTTATAGTAAAAAGGGAACAAAGGTCAAAGGTCTCAATAAGAAGGCTACTGAGGGACAGGGCCTTGAGGCTCAAGCTTCAGCTGGGCAAAGAAGCAGTCGCCAATTGCACTTGAGGAGAATCTAGAGATTGTCGTTGGGCCAAAGGAAAAGGAAAAGGGAGTGGAAGCAACGTAGAAAGGAGAATTGTTGAGGTTCTCTCAAGTAATGAGAAGGGAGGAAATGTGGAGATTGAGAAATTGGTTGATAGGACTGTCAGGGCTGGCAAGAGCTTAGGTTTGTTTTATGAGGCAAAGAGGCGTTTGCTAGAAGAGCTTTTGAAGCTTTCGAGAGTAGCAAGAAGGAAGAAAGGCCGAAGAAGCACATAATAGGGGAAGGAGGAGAAGCGTGAAATGAGGAAGGAGACGGGTAGGAAGAGTGTTTGAAGGAGAAAATTAATGTTGCTACCTAGTGCCCAAGAAAAAGGAGGTTAAAACCCCAAGGGATTTCAAGCCAATTAGTTTGGTGGATAGTCTATAAAATAATAGCAAAAGTTTTATCAGAAAGACTAAAAAAAGATTTTCCCATAGTAATCTCACAATTTCAGGGTGCCTTTGTCGAAGGTAGACAAATTGTTGATCAGATTTTAGCGCCAAATGAGTATGTAACAAAGAAGAAAAAGGGAGGGAAAGATTTTATTTGTAAATTGGACTTAGAGAAGGCTTATGATTTGGTGGTTTGGTCATTCCTTCCTAAATTTATGGAGAAGTTGGGGTTGGGGAAAAGTGGAGATTGTGGGTTAAGGGGTGGAGGATAACTTTGCCATCTTGGCCAACCTTCCCATCTACTTCTTGTCTAACCTTCTATATCCTTGTTAAAATAGCAAGGCAGCTAGAAAAGTTAACAAGGGATTTCTTATGGGAAACGAGGGCTGGAAAGAAAGACCACTTGGTGAAATGGGAGCAAATTAGTAGACCTAAAGAGAAGGGTGGGCTTGGGTTAGGAAATTTAGTCCAAAAGAATTTAGCTCTCCTAGGTAAGTAGCTGTGGAGGTGTCTTTTAGAATGAAATAGCCCCCAATGCAACTTCATCCTCTCCATGGAAACAAATTATGAGGTATATCCTTTTTTTTAACCTTATTTGGTATGATGTAGGGAATGGACTAAAAGTCTTGTTCTAGGAGGACCTTCAGATAGGTAAACAAGCACTAAAGATCCAATTTTATGTGTTTTATGCACTTTTCAATTTTTGAAATGTATTTGCTTATGAACTCTACCTTGGGATTAAATTGGAAATTTTGATTCACAAGGGGTCTTAGGGAAATGGAGTGTGAATCTTTCATTCTTCTATTGGCCAAAATTGACTCAATCTTTTTTGGATCAAAATGTAGACACCGGGTTTGGTCAATCTCTCTATCTGGCTTTTTTTAGCAGTTAGCTGGCTATTTTACTTGTGCTTCATTATTCAACTTCCTAATTCAAACAACTACCTTGGAGTGATTTTCCAAGTGAAAGAAATTTGGAGTAAGACAAATCCCTCCTAAAATTCGGGCCCTATGTTGACAAGTCTTCCTTGGAAAGATTAACACCTATGACATGCAGAAAAAGGCCAAATAAGTGCATTTCCTCTCACTTATGCATCCTCTGTAAAAACAATGGTGAAACTAGAAAAGGAAAGAATTAGGAATAAGCACAATAGAGAGAACTTATGAGTAATTCCAACTAATGTCAAGATGAAGAAAAGGGCTCGGGGAGTAACTTCGTGTGAGTAGAGCAAGATGGCTTTTTTTTCATGAGCATAGGTAACAAATGACAGAACGAGTGAGAAAGGAGTGACTTGATGTGAGTAGAAGGTTCTTAAAGAGCCCAGGGAAGACAAAAGAAAACACGGTCCAAAATAGTAAGAAATGATTTAAGGACTCATGATTTGACAAAAAAGCATAGCTCTTTAATCTTGATGAAGCACAATGGCAGGACAGAATTTGCATAGCCAACCACAAATAGATGGAATTAAAGCTATGTAGAGTTGAAGCTTCGGTCAGTAGTGTGTAGGAAGTTTGTTTTCTTTTCTTCCTTTTTCCATAAGGTGAAGCCTCTTCACATGTGACCTCCATGTTATGTTCATGCACTCTGATTTTTCTTTTAATGAATTCTATTTACTATCAAAAACAATTCCCGTAATACTTGCATACATGCATGTCAGTGGACCAGGTCAACCCAACACACTGAATGCAATTCTACCCTATTAAAATGGTCTGACTTTGCATCATTTTATTGTTCACATTTCTCCTCTCTTCTTAATAAGTCATCCACTGTCATTACACAGTACCTATACAAAAAGAATCAATATATTGTTGCCCACGCCATCACAAAACACCATTACACAGGCCATATCCATCCCCTTAAAGCCCTACCCAATCATCTTACCTGTTTGTATCGCCTTCAGTTTGATTCTAGCCCTCAGACTAATTCAGTCCAGGTTGTTCCCTTTAGTTTTCATCTCATTTACAGGTTCAGAATTTTGTTTTCTTGTGAAAATAAATCCCTTTAGGCCCCAAGAACCTGCTAAAAAGCTATTGGATTCAATAGTCTCTACCCTTCCACCACAGAAGAATGCATATCATGTACTCAATTAAATATAACCAAGGAACAGGAAACTTAAAGAGGGAAGTGGATTGTTTTAACTGAAGGCTCCAATGAAGCTGAAGCAAAAAAAGCTGTAGAAAACCCATTTGAAGTTTGAACATTACATGAGAGATTCTCTATAGAAATCATAATAAACAACTAAAAGGAGTAATACCTTCAAATTTTGAGAACTCCTAGGCTTTGGAAGTGAAATTAACTGGACACGAGGATCTTTTTTTTGGGATAAAGCTCTCCCAGTTCTTTTCTTGCATGAAATCTGGAAGTCCTTAAGGATTCTGACGCGTTCCATCAATTTTTTGTTCTCCTCAATCCTTGCTTCAATCTGAATCAGCTTGCTCCTAATAAATTTCTGGCAGGACCTGTTCTTCTTAATGGTATCAATAAACATCTGTCCTGACTTCGGGAAGCTGGAATATTTCAGTGGTAATGGAGATAACTTACGAGCTTCAGGTTGATGCCACTCAAAGGAACAAGATGGCTGATTTCCAGGACCCGTGCCACCAAAAGATTCCAAAGGCTGAGAGACATTATGTGTGCCTTCAGAATTGAGCATGCCACTGCCCAAGTCCTCACTATTGCATATGTCTACAGATAAATCATTGGGAGTTCCCCATTCCGATGAATGTAAATGGTCGTTCTTTTTATTCTTATGAGCATCTGCATTGAAACATGAGAAATATAGTTAATGGAAGATCTTCACATCTTTAGGTGATATGCAGAGAAACAGCCACTATGATACTCATTGCTTATTCTTCAAAAGGAAATTTTCATAGAAACAATTACTCGTGAGAGAGATAGAAAGACAGAAAAACAAGAAGAATATATGTAGTCCTAAAAGATATATTAGGAGAGAGTTTTGACCTAATTGTCGATAAATAAGGCAAAAAATGAAAAAAAAAAAACTCTCTTTACCAAAAAGAATGAAGAATATATGACAAATTGAAAATTATCTTCTTTGAAAAAGGTAACTATTGTATTAATCAAAAGGGCAAAGGGAGGGGGGTGTACAAACAGAATAGACAGACAGCCCTACTAAGAGACACCCCACTTAAGGGGGCAAAGTGTTTGCACTATACAAAAAGGTTCTATCCACCCCAGATTTAGCCAAATGATCTGCAATTGAGTTCAGCTCCCATGGAATCCAACTAAATTCGCAAAAAAAAGAGAAGAAACTTCAGAAATCTCATTGAGAAAGCGACCCAGTCTCCAAGGGCCCTTATCTGGATTGGAAGCCCAGTTAATAGCATTCCTAGAATCTCCCTCAATGAGAATAGAGTTAAGCCGAAGCAATCTAGCAGTTCTCAGACCAATCGCTAATGCTCTGATTTCAGCTTCAGAAGCATCTACTGCACCAGTGGGACCACTGCAAGCCCAGATTACTGAGCCCTTTCTGTTTAGAATCACTCCCCCAATGCCAGCCACCGGAATCTGGCCAGAATTGCTCTACGGCTGCCATCAAACTTCAGTAAATAATCTAACTTAGGCCTGGGAGTGAGGGGGTGCATTGGTTGCTTGCTAACAATGGATGACTTGAACCTTTCAAGATCAGCATATCTGAAACCTTTGAAATGATCAGAGGAAGGAATCCAGGAAAAGGTGCACACGAAAATTCCTTCTCTAATGGCTTCCGTCCTCGCAAACTTGTTATAAAAAATTCTCCTGCTTCGTTCATCCCAGATACACCACATAACAGAATGAGTTAAGGCTCTCCAAAAAATTTTACCTCTAGACCCCAGATTGCAAGAAGGCCACTGATTAAAAAAATTTGCAACCTTATTTGGAGGAACCCAATAGAAGCTTGATCCAAACACCAAATCAAGTGGCTAGCTGATTCACCATCCTTCATGCACATAACACAGATATGAGGAGAAAGATAATGATATCCTAATCTTTTTCTTTGGATCAGATCACAAGTGTTAATGCGCTCCCAAACTGCCTCCTAGATAAAGAACGAAATTTTAAGAGGCCCCACATGAGGCCAAATTCTGTTGACCAAGAAGGTAGGAGGGGTAACCGAAGTAAGGTGGATGAAAAAGGACTTAGAGGAAAAAATTCCAGTGGGAGATAAAGACCAAATATGTTTATCAGGGAGGTGATTAGAGAGCAAAACTTCACTCAAGGAAAGGAGAAGGGAGGAAACTTCTTGGGCTTCAAAATCAGTTAAAGCTCTACGAAAGTTGAAATTATAGGATAAACCTTGATTATCTCTGATGAGAACATCAGAAACTAAGATTTCCTTGTCCAAAGCTAGACTGAAGAGGTTAGTATAGATGACAGAGAGAGGTTGGGGACCCCACCAAGTATCAGTTCAAAATCTGATACAACTACCAGTTCCAATTCTGAATCTTAATAAGGGAGAGAAGAAAGGAAGGACTTGCATAATACCTTTCCAAGGGTTGGCGAAGAAAAAATCTGTTTGTCACACTATTGCTGTCCCACCTGTTAATGTTCCTTCCATATTTACTTCTTATTAGGGAAGCCCAAAGACTATCTTGTTCCAAGGGGAAGTGCCATAAATATTTCCCAAGAAGAGCAACATTTCTTTTCTCCAAATGACCAAGACCCAATCCTCCATCCTTCTTCGCTTTGCAAACTATCTCCCAGTTAACTAGGTGTTCCTTCCCCCCCACCTCCCTCCCAAAGGAAGTCACGCTGCAATTTTTCTAGAAGATATCTCACTTTGACTTGCAATTAAAGATGGAGAAGAAGTATATTCGCAGGCTGGATAGGGAAGACTTGATAAGAGTAAGTCTGCCCACTTTTGAGATGTAATTTCTTTTCCAAGAATCCAAACTAGTGAATGTTGAAAATTATCTTGAGATCCTAGCAAAATGACAAACTAGTGAATATTTCCCATTTCTTTCTGGAGGAGTTCTTACAATCTTGGATCTTTTGCGCATATCAAAATAATGTTCAATATGAGACATACGCAACTGACACATGCCCCCCAAAACCATAGGCACTTAAGTGCTATGACTTATTAGGGAAGCTTTAGAGAGTTGAATTTTGTGAACTTTAAGAATTGTTTAAATGCTGAGTTTATTTCCTAAGACCCCATGTAGCATCAAGAGTTACTTTTTTAGTGTGAATTGCAGTTTTAAAGCCTTTAAGGTATTGTTCCTTGATCAAATGCATCACCTCTGCTAAATGAATAGCTTAAATTGATGAAGGTTATAGAAGCAAAGCTTGTTTTTTCCTGCAACACTATGAAAATCAGAATATCAGAGTTAAATATGTAGGCTAATGCAGCATTTCATGTCATAATGCTAAAAATCATTACTTAGATATCATCTTGCTTTTATATGCATAAAATATATTACAATCAATCAAAGGTGGACATGGGCTTCCATTAATGGGCATCCCAACTGGTCTGAGAGTTTTCTTCAGGCTCTTCAACCATATTTAAAAATTTTTTCATGTTTGAATTTCCATGTGCCATTACTTAATTTTCAAACCTCCACTCAGCAATATAAATTACAAAAGAACATAAAGCATCATTATCGTACAGCTGCAAGAATTAGCCCCAAGTCCTCCATAACCCATTGCTAAATTAAAAATTGTGTAGCCATATCCTTGCATATTGCAGTACAGATTGGTATGCAAAGCAAAACTCCTCATCAAGAAATCTACAGCCTTGCTGATCAAAAAAAAAAAAACAGAAAAGAAATCTAAAGCCCCTAGGAGATCCCAACCAAAGTAATTGATATGAATGGTATAATTAACCGTCCAACATATCTACTTCATGGATTACATGAATTAAATATATCCGTTCCCCAAAAACCATAAATAAAGAAACAGAAAATAATCAAATGAAATTAAAAAACGCAAAACGAGTACTTAAGTTAGCTACCAAAACAGAAAATAATTAAAAATAACCAATTTTTTTTCTTCACCCATATCATTTCAAATCGGCTTTCAGAATTTTCACAAGCCCTCTTCTTGTCGGTGTTTCCCTTGCATCACTATTCATATTTGTTTGGAATTGCAACTGTTCATCAACACAAAACGAAATAACAAGATTACTACCTCAGACTTACCGCTTTGGTATCTAGAAAACCGCATCTGGATCGCACGGAGGATTTCGAAATCATCTTCTTCGTCGTCAGAAGTGACCGGCGGAATGGACCTCAGAGGCTTCATAAAGATAGGCGGATTATCGACCTGAGGAATCGAGAATCGTTCTCGAATGCTTCGAACCAATTCAATATCATCGACATCCTCGCTGTTGCCTTCGGCATCGGAGGCATCAGCAGCATCGGCGGAAGCAGCTTTAATATCGTTGAGGTCTGTGCCGGTTATCATACAAGCTCTCCTCAGGGCCTCCATGTCTTCATCGAGAGCGTCATCTTTGTCAGTGCCGGAGATTTCTTCTTCGTCGTCAATATCGCCTCTGGGAGAAGCCATGGATGGTTGAGTCTACGCTGGACCGACTGAGTTCTCTCCTCTGTAGGAGTTTTGGGGAAGTTGTTACATTGTTTGCTTGTTAGGGTTTTTGGAGGGAAAAATAGAATCAGTTCCATTCTAGCGTAGAGCCTTGAATATAATAAGCGGTTAATCACGAGGAGACTGGTTGGGATTAGACCTGTTCATGGGCCGGGTCGGGCCGGGCTTTCACTTGTTGTCACTAATGAAAATATATTAGGCCCGAGTCCGAATCCGGCCCGATCAATGGGCCTATAACTTGGGCCCGAGTCCGGCCTCGGTAAAAAGCCCGAAACCCGAGTCCGAAGCACGACTTAATTGAAAAAAAAAACAATTTTCCCTATTCAAATTATAATTAAAAATTCAGATAGTATTTTTTTTATTTAAATGAACAATGGGCCTATAAGATGGTATTTTTCCCTTTCTTTTATATTTTAAAACACAATTTTACATTCTTAAATCAAAAAATTTATTTAAATAGACATAATCACATAATTAATTTTAAGTTTAATATTAGCTCGGGCCGGGCTATTTTGATAAAACCCGAACTCAGTTCGAATTTATTGCAGGCCGGGATTTTTGGCCAGACTTTAAACCCACAGGCCTATAAACATGTTCAAACCCGTCCGAGGTCAGGCCGGTCTGGGCCGAGCCAACCCATCGGGCCACTCGGCCCATAAACAGGTCTAGTTGGGATGTCTTGCCACGATGCCAAGAAAAGCATATCCCAACACCCTCCCCATATGATCCGACACCGCACACCTCGCCATGAGACTGGGACCCTCCATGTCATGAGATGTGCGGTGACAGATAACGTTGGGAGGGTATTAGAACATATTTTGTTAGTAACTGATCCAGATTCCAGACTCCTGCGTAGTGGTCCAGTCAGTCTACCACAACGATTTCACATATGCTCCCAACAGCCCATTACAATCGCACATCGGAAACATCTCGCAAGGAGGTATTCCCAATGTACGGCTGTGGTGGTGGGTTGAGACTGTGCTGGGAACGTCATGTTGATAGCAGATCCCTACCTGGTCGGATGTCAACGGGTTGAGACTGACTGTGCTGTGCATGAAACCACGATGGAGTTCAAATCTGCGCCTCACAATATAGCGCCCCAAAAACCTCCCACACAATGGGAGGCCGCCAACTGTCCTCCCACACGCATTCTCCCCCTCAACCCATGCATAGCTTAATTTGCACTAAAAATTAAAAATCTCCCCCTTCCCGCTTCCGGAGTCCGGATGTGCTCTAAGCCTCTAACCACCTGGCGCCTCGCAAGCTCCTCACAAAACGTGAGGACGCCACGCGTCTATACACGAGAGGGGAGCTTTAATCACCATTCCGTTAGCCCTCCACCCCTGCCACCGAGTATTCCTCCTCAGCAAGTCTTATTTTTAATTTTCTGTTCTTTCCCGCTAAACTCCTGCTAAATTCTAGCGCCCTCCACCGATTGAGTAGTGCTTTCTTTGGCGTACAGTGATTTCACCGGCGACAATACAAAGTCTTTCTGCGATCACAGACGAAACGAGACTGACAACTCTACCCGGAAGAAAGGAGAAATTACAGAGTTCGGAAATATTTTCGCAAAAACTACTGGAATATGACGAAACAATAAACCAAAAGCATGGAATGTTTATCACCGCACTTATAACTTTAGGATTTTTGTAAAGAGAAGATGCAGAGTTTGAGCATAAGAAGCAAACAAATAGAGGCATAGAGTACGAGAGTGAAACCTGGCACTGGGGACCCTAGAAGGGACTTCGGTCTCGAACTCAACGGGCAAACCGAGAATGCCATTGTAGCGATCGAAAGTAAGGTGGGAGACATGCCTGACATCGGTAGGCTAGCTAATATCCATGGCACAAATATCCTCCCTCTCCATGCTACATGTCACCAACGACTTCTTTAACTCCGCTAGCAAAATTTCCAGAATAGGGAAATGATGACGCTCATCTCTGGCACCTCCCTCTCTCCCTGCAGGAATTATCAACGGAGTGGATATTGGATTGGAAAAGTAATCGTCACCGTCATCACCTTTCTCTCCTTCTTCGTCTTCGTTCTCAGTCAGATATAATGACGGAGTCTGAGGAGACAACTCCAACACTGATATCCGTCCAGGTCCACAAGACCTGGATTTGAAGAGCTGAACCATAGAATTACAAGACAAGTAGGAAGAGTTTCAGAAGGAAAATTAGGACTGGTGTTCCGAGCAAACGTTGAATTTGGCGAAAAAGTCGAGAAGTACTAGTAGTAGAAAGTTTGGTCAAGTTGGGACTTTGGGATTGTAAATGATTGGTTCGATGCGGGGAGGAAGGAAATGGTGAGCTTGAGAAGAGAAGAGATATGAGATTTTTTTTTATTTTTTATTTAAAAAGAAAATCCGTCGTTGTTAGCTTTGCTATCTATCAGTACATAAATCTCGATCGTACGGACGATGGAATAGACAGAGAACCGAGCAAGTTGGAATCGTAGGCTTGTGACATGGTGGAGACAAGAGACAACGACGACGAGGAATCGTAGCTTTGCTATATAATAGTTTGGGTTCTTAGTGAAAAGGAACAGGGATGAGAGTTTAGGCAGGAAAAGAGAAATCAACAGAGTTGTCAGTCTCGGTTTGGTCTTTGATCAGAAGGAGACTTCATATTATCGTCGGTGAAATCATCGTCTGCCGGAGAAAACACTACAACCGGTGGAGGGCGCTAGGGTTTACCAGGGGCTTAAAAGGAAAGAACAGGAAATCAGAAATAAGACTTGCGGAGGAATACTCGATAGGGGACTAGGGGAGGGGCTAACGGAATGGTGACCAACGGCAATTAAGGCTTTCCACTCGTGTATGCAACTCACATGATTTTGGGGACACGCGGCGTTCTCACGTTTTGTGAAGAACTTGCGAGGCGCCTGAGGAGCAGATCCGGACTCCCGCTTCCGATATATCGGAAGTACGAACCCGTCCCTCTCATCTCATATCTCTCTCTCACATCATTTATTTTCAAACTTTTCTTCCAATAAAAAACAGACGAAAGGATCACCGGAGACCACCCGATCCGATCGAAACCACTCCAAATTATCTAACTCCCACTCCCTGTTCACCTCTTCCAAAATCTTACACTAGATGACCTTCTACTCCCAGAAGCTTTCTCCATTAGAAACAGTAGATCTTCAGCCAATTCCAATCGATAGAAAATATTCGAAGTAGGCTTTTGGTTCTTGTCAAGATCATCACTAAAGTCACCGCAATCCTACTGAATAAGCCTCAACAGGGAAAGACTCATGCACGTTGTGGCTTATAAAAGTTAAAGCCAATAATAGAGTAGCTTACTGATGTTTCGCAACAGAAACACCCATCCTGCATAGCGAAGCAAGGAGACATCTAATGTTGCCCATATCCATGATGGGAACTTCTGCACAACCCGATTGTTGGGTCTTGCCGTATTGAAGCTCTCTTTCACCTGTCGGTTGTGGTGGATCTCTAGCCCGATTGAAGTAATTGGATGGAAAATCGCTTTTACAGCTCGAACAAAGAAGTGGGAGCTAGATTTCAGTGCCTGAAGCTATATTTCCCAGCATCTACTATCCACCTGGTATACTGATGTTGCCATTCAAGCTCATGACTTCGGCTGAAAATCCTAGTTCCCTCGATTAAGAGAATAGTGGTGACGAACCAGAAATCCATCTTGCCTAGTTTGATAGAAAAACCAACCAGAAGAACAACAGTTGCCCTGATGAAAGCTAAGGCTCCCACTCCATTGGCCGCTTTTTCAAGAGTTGCAAGGCGAAGGACAAATAGTGTCAATTTCTTTTCATGCACGAGGTTAGCTGAAGAAGCGGAGTTGGAATTGCTGCTCCCTGGTCTTCCAACTGGGCTATGGTTCATCATGCCAGGGCAGATTTTGAGGAGTTTCTCTAGTTGTGCAAGAACTTATCAACAGAGATGTATGGAAACCGTAAGAAATGGTATCAGATCAAGTGCTTCTACAGGAGATGAGAGAGAGATTTGGTAATTGCAAACTGAATTACAAAAGAGACAAAAGTTGATTCATTTCATTGCTCTACTAGTTGTATGAGTTGGGTAAGGGTTGGGTGGTCGCCGGTGACCCATCCTTCTTTGTTTTGTATTGAAAAAAATTAAAAATAAAAGATGAGAGAGAGATGGGGTGAGAGGGTCGTGTTCGTACCTCCTGTATATCTGCTGGAACCATCGCCGGTGCCGGAGATGACCAAATCGGAAGAGTTCAGGGTTGCACAGGCACCAAGCCGTCAATCGAGAGAATAAACGATCCGGAGCTAACAGGACGAGAGCTAACGGCCGTCCCATTAGCTCCACGCGTGCTGAGGGGAGAATGCGTGTGGAAGGACAGTTGGCGGCCTCCCATCGTAAGGGGAGACCGGATCTGCTCCTCACACGCACATCCTACCATGAATGGGGAGCATCTCCCGTACTTATAAGTTATTATTGATGGGAGATGTTCCCAATGCATGGTGCATGGTGCATGTGCATGTGTAAGGAGTAGATCCTGTTCCTTGGCAGGGAGATTTTGGGGGTGCCCCTGGGGCGCAGATTTGAACTCACCACAATGCCTCTTGGGTCTTGGATATGATCCGGCAAAATAGCAAGCATGTTGAGCCCTTTTGAACTACTCTAGATGTCTTATGTTTGGTTATGTAGGCGTTTATTGGAATTAGGCTTGGCCTTAATTGTGCATATAACCATTGTTTGGTTTCAATGTTTATCAAATAAACATTAAAAAACAGAAATGCTTAGATTTATGTGCATAAGGCATTGGGAGAAACTTCAAATTCTAATTTGTCCCAATGCCCCAACGTCTAATTATTGAAATAAAATGCTTACTTGGAGCATTGTAAACTGAGGTGGAAGATAGCTTTATGGGGTGTTACTTGAAACGCCCATGAAATTCTCAACCAAACAACAAAAGCAATAAACATTTAAAGTAATGTTTTTCAATTAATCATTTATCTAAGAAGCATGCCATCTAAAATGCCCACAGAACCAAACACATACTTTGTCTCTTCTCTATGAAAACGATACAATATACTCTAGTAGACATGGTGCAAGACTCCT